CAGCATTCATCTGGTGTGCTCATGCAATTTTCCTCTCCCAGAATATCTTCTCTCTGGTCTGCCTATCCTACTTGGAAACATCTCAGGGCCCAGCACATAACCCAGTTCATCTGTGATTCCAATGAGCTTGTAATGAGAACCCTCACCTAAGCAGAACTGAGGGGAGTTATTTTGGGTGCCCTCACTAAGCGGTGGTTGGGCATCCAGGGCCAAATCTTCTGTCAGTATTCTTCCTCTCTTACTCTCCAAGCACGGCATTGCTGCAGTCCTCTCACGTCCCTACGTCTTCTACTGCAGAAAAGAAACGACTACACCAAAGGCTTCAGAACGCGTTTTCACTTAGGGCTCGTCAGAGCCCCTCACTACCCCTCTTTGTACCACTCTTCCCTTGACACGGGCGCTAGCTGTTTATCACAGACTGAGTGTTGCCATGGTATTGAGAGCAAGCTGAATTAAGGGAAGACTGGAGAAGACGTTTTGATGAGGAAAAATGCCTGGCCTCCATAAGCTTTGAAGGAAAGTAGGTTCCTGTGAATTAGGCTTATGACACAGATCCCGTGATGCTGGCTGGAGGGAACCTTGACGTCAGTAAGATGCTGCTGTAAGCCAGATGATCTCTGGTTTTCTAAGTTACCCAACACATTACAAGACCAAGGGGGACCTAGCACCACAAACAGAATTCTTTCCTAGGCACTCCAATTCCCACCACTGCCCTCCCATCTGACTTCCCAGATACCTGGCTACTCAACCCACTTTTCTTTGCCCTGAATCATGCACTGCCTTGCCTTCATGGTCTGCAGTGTTCACAAGCATGCATCTGTTTTACCAGGCAGAGGACACTGCCTCTTACACTTCTGTGTCCTCCACACATTGATCTGTTGAAGCATCTTGGTCTTATTTTTCCATCTTGAAAAACTAGCATGTTCTTGTGTCCAAGTATTAGTTTATTATCTAGATTTTAATGATGACTATTTAGCTAGGGCCCAATTATTACACATACTTCTTTCTAGTTTATCATGTCGTGCTTAATTTAGGCAGAGGGTCCTTATACCTGTAACATCAAAAGTAAAATATAAACAGCTTGACTATAGCTTTAATTCTGCTTCTCTCTGCTGAGCAGACAACTTCACAACAAGGTGTGTGCTTCCCATAAATCAGAGTAGATGATTTTTTTCCAATTGTTTTAATTCATGGGCAATCAATCTCTACAGCAGGTGGCAAGTTGAGGGGGCCTGGAAGCCAGGGAGAAAGAAGGTATGGTGAGGTATTAAGTAATTTTTATTTGAATTTGTACAACTGAGTACTGCTCGGGTGGCAGACACAACGCGTGTCTGTTAACTGAAGCCAGGCGAACAGGCATTGTCGTCAGATGCATCTAGAACCATCTCCTAGGCCAACTGTAATTCAGTCTAAAACAGACCATTTCTCACCTGAATTCTCTGACTGTCTTGGCCTAATTCTCCATCTCATCACAAGGCTCTTTTCCCACCTTTTGCTTCAGGATCCTGAATGTGACCTTGACATTACTCAATGACTGCAGTGTCATCTGAGACTTGACCTGTGCCACACAATCTCTCTTCCCTTCACATAGTACTTTGTTTTGTAATGTCTGGAACATCTGTAGCCAGAAAAATTACTTGAAAATGTTTTCCAAACAGACCTGTGTGTCTTACCTGTTTCCTAAACGTTTATTAAACATGTTATATGAATAACATTTTAAAATACAGAAATGAATAAGACAAGGCCTCTGACCTCAAAAAGTTTCAATCTAATAAGAAAGACACTCACGTGAGCAGAACCCCTACTCAGTCACCAGCCCCAGCCCATCTCCCCACCTCTGAAAAGGGCAGCACCATTCGCCTAGGTGCTCGAACCTGAAAAGTATAAATTGTCCTTCATTCCTCCCTTTACTCACACTCTATCTCCACTGCCGTCAGCTACTTCTGCTGACTCTACATCTAAAATCCAGTCACGTTTTTCTACCTCTATGGCCACCACCCAGATGTAAGCCAACAACATCTTTCACTTGGACTAAGAAAAAAGCTTTCTAAATGGTCTCCTGATTCCACTCTTAGCCTCTATGCTACATTCTCCCAAGAACATACACTATAATATTTACAGTAAACAGATCTTCAGGTTACTCTACTGCTTAAAACCCTCCAATGCTTTCCAGCACTTTGAGAAAACACTCCATCCAGCAGCCTATAAGGCCCTACACTAGCTGGCTCCTGACTGCCCCTCAACCTCATCTCGTACCACTTTCTTCTTGCTTACAACAGTCCATCTACTCCAGCCCTCCTTCCACTTCTCAGATACACTAAGCTCATTTTGAAGGCCTGTGCTCACTTTTCCTCTGCTTGGAACTCTCTCCTTTTCCATTCCACAGGTGTCACCTTCCCTTCATTCAAGTCTCAGATCAAATGCCCCTCCTGAGGAAGCCTCCCCTGGCCATGTCATCAAATACTGCCCTGGATACTAGCATATTAGTCCACTTTATTTTCATTTCATTTTCTGAATTTATTTTTAAATTACTTGTGTATTGCTTTTCTTCTCTAACTATCACATAAACTAACTTGTCAGAGTTGTTGGCAACTGTGACTCCTGTACTCGAATCAGGCCTGGTTCAAGGAGGTGTCCAGTAAGGATGTGTTGATAGATGAATGTCCATTACAAAGAAGAACAAAATAAGGGTGATGGAAATGGAGCAAACTACAGATGAAGAAGGGACATTTATTTTTGATTGGGATGGGAGCAGATTGAGAATGACTTTAAAAAGAAGAAGAGATCATTAGGCCTTGGAGGACCAGTAGGTAGCACTGAAAAAAGTATCCCAGGCTCTGGGAATAGCAGAAAAGTCCCAAAGGCATGAGCCAGTCCACAGCATACCTAAACAAAAAAAGTATATCTGAAATGGCTGGTTCCCAGCAAGCAAGGAGGGCTGAACTGAGCATGAACACAGATGGGACAGATGGAACTTTATTTTTCTAACCATGGATAGTCACTGAAAAGTTCTGAAGATGAAAACTGGTACAAATCTGATCCACATTTTCTAAACACTGAGAAAAACTGTTGTAACCTAAAAGCCAACAACCAACCAACCAAAAATAACATCACTTTTAAGATGACTACAGATTTTCCAGTGTTGGGGGAGAAAAAAGGACTTGGATCTGTCAACGTAGAAGACAGAGGAGCCCACAGTTGGTGACCCTGTGTCCCAGAGGGAAGACCGACTACAGATCGTATTTTGGTTTTCAAAGGCAGTAAACAGAAACATTACAGTTCCAAATTGTTTCAAAGTACAAGCCACCACCGACGAGGATAATGAAGCTGCGGGTACCTGAATTCCAGGACTAGAACTGGGTCCTGAGCCGGGAGACAGTTCCAAGCCAACACTCTTCATATCACAGAACAATTTAATTAGATAAACAATACTTAACAGGTGGAACAGCACTATTTAAACGGAACCAATGACGTATATATTATATGAAACTTAAAACGAGTGTTTGAATGATTCATTCTCAGTCACCACAAAAGGCTGTTGCTAACTATTTTAAGGAATTAAGCCCTACGGCAAAACGTGTCTCCGAAGGACAGATAATACAGGTGCTCTGAGAGCATTCTCACTTTTCATGGGTCTTAGCATAGTGGCTTACTTTAAGGCAGATTTATTTAATGAGCACAACTCTCCTCAGTAACCAAGATGGAAAGGCTGAATGACAAGACAAAGACCAACAGCAGGGAGGAAACTGCTTGTGCTTCCAGAAGTCCTGTGAGGAAGGAGGGCCCAGGAGTCTGCGTTGTTGGTTTTCTCTGCCCTAGCTAGTTTTTTTTTTTTTTTTTTTTTTTTTAATTTAAGCAAGATAGAGGACCTGGGACTCAGCTTGCTCCCTTATAAAATGAGGAACTCAGAAATATGATCAAAGGTCCCTGCCAGTTTTAAAATTCGACAATAATGAAGAAATTCCTTGCAGGTATTTGCTTTCCACAAACCAGAGCTAAAGGAGTGAATGTCGCTGAGCGCTGCTCACTGTTTATTAGAGGTGCTGAGCTCAGGACCAGAGGTATAGAGTGGGCCCACAGGTCTGAGTTAGCCCCCAGCCTGGACGACGATAGGGCTGGAGCATGGTCAGAGCGGAATCACACAGACCTGGACTCCTATCATAGCTCTTACTATGTAAAGTGGGGGTAGGGATGTTGTGGGAATTAAAAGAGATAATGAATGTGAGATGCTTAGCACAGTGCCTGGTACACAGGGGCTCCTCAATAAAGGGCAGTTCTAGAAGATGTTGTTGTTATTGGTTCCATTTCACTTTTTCAGCTAGTAGACTCATCTCTATTACTTTACATCAGATTCTCCTAGTAAAAAAGATAAAATCATGCAACCTCACAAAACTGGAAAGGACCCTAAAGTCCTTTCATCCAGCTCCCTGCTTTCAGACATTTCTATTATTACTATCATTTTACTAACAAAGCTACCAAGGACCTGAGTAGTTAAGCTGACCACCCAAGGTTATATGGCCATTAAGTCCATTTAAAAAATTACCGTCTGTGTCCTCGGTAGTCCCCGAGGGTTTGGAAGTAGTGAATATACTTTCCTGTGATACTAAGACTCAAGGCTGTCTCTGTTACTACAAATACTTCATAAAATGAGATTAAAGTGTATAAGCCAAAGGGAGAATGCAATGAATAATCAAAACGACAACTCCAAATTTTAGACAGTTATGAAAATGACAATGAAGCTTGTGACAACCTATACTAATGCTTACTATGATGTTAAACAAAAAATCAGAATACAGATCCTATTCATGTTGTGATTATAACCAAGTAAAATTATGTACGTATATAGCAAAGACTGGAAAGGAACTTAGAAAATGACCGTGGCTGACTGGCTAAGGAGGCACAATTGCAGTTCATTTGTACTGAGTGATTATAATGCAGCTGGCACAGAAAACGTTACAACAGAAAGAATCACAGGGAAGAAGCTGCTGCTGTTCACTTACCCTGGGTTGTACAACATGACAGCAGAGAGGTTCTCACAGGACTTGGAGAGGTCGGTCATGGATAAGCTCAAGGAGGACAGAAGGCCGCTCTAAGAGCAGAGCAAAGGGCAGAGCGGTTACTTTCGTGGACAAGAGAATGCCAATGTTCATGACTCACTGCTTTAAACTGGGAGGGAGAGGGGCAATGAGGCACATGCACTTTTAATTAGAACACACAACAATCGGTGGACAACTGTTGACAAGTCAGGGACAGTCAGGCTTTGGATACTTGTCAGCCCAAACCCTAAACTAAGCACAGCAGGGTCCTGGTATCACAGGGCTGGGGAGACAGACCAGGAATTCCAAGGCCCTGCTGGTCTCCCCCACCAGGCTATACTGAGCTGGGGGAAAGGGGTCATGGCATCGGAATCATCCCAGGTCGCTTGCAGGCAGCAGTCTCCTGTCAGCAGCATTCGCTCATTACGCTTACGGAGTGACAAGATGAAGGAGGGTAAGATCAAAGGAGACCAGTAAGTAAGAGCTGGTCCTATTTTGGAAAACTATTGCAAACACATTTTCTCTCTTCTCTCCATCTGCAACTGTGTACCAGAAAGGGCCCACCAGGGAGACGCTGGGCGGGAATAGATAAGAGCTTCACTGGCTTGACTGGAGAAGCCTGGAGAAGCCTGGGGTTTGTAGCTTTCTCATAACTCCCCATCAAAGGACTGGCGACCTCAAATAGCCCTTAGAAAAGCAGGCCGAGATGATAGGCTGGGTAACTTGGTGGTAGAGACAAATGTTTCCTGTTGGCAGGTCAGGACCAAAGCCTAGCCAGCTACCCGCTGGGGAAACAAGTTAGGGAGTGTCTCTCTTAGTCTCAGTTTCTTATCTCCGTCACCTGTAACGTGGGAGTAGTAAGCCTGCTGCCCAGAGAAAGTGGTAAAATATACATAGAAGTTTAGCACATGCTTGACTCCGAGAACTGTTAGCTGTATCTGGGTTATCTTCACCAGTCTAAGGACCAGTCACAATGCCACTAGACAGATTTCTCTTCATCTCCCTCCTTTCCTTCTCTCTCTGGTCCTCAGGCCACCTCCTCCCTCCAGAACTTGAAAGTGTCCTTTAGATGTCCCCACCTGACCAATCTAAAATCTCTCCCAAACATCCTAAACTCATCCTTTTTCTGTGTCACACTGCAGTGAAAAATTCAATTTACTATGGCTGAAAATAAAAACGGAGCAGATTTTTAGATGAAAGTAACTCTAACATTGGGCTAATGCCAAAAATAGATGCCGATTAAGTGGAAGTCACTCTCCACTTAATATAAAACAATGCCCATCTCCTTTTGGAGGGGGCTGGACAGGAGGGAACAGTTTCTCCTTGCCTGCTCTGGACTTCACTCACTTGCTTTCCTACTTCACTTGTCAATCATCTGCTGGGAAGCAAATTCCCTAGAATCAATCCAGTTTACAGAAATATTTTTCAAGTGGTTTAGTATTCCACAAAACAAAACTGTTTGAAACAGAGTGGAGTCGACTCCCTGGCCCTTAAACACCACCACAAAACGTAGGTTCGCTTCTAGACACTTCACGCTGCTCACCTTCCTCTTCTCCCTGAGCTTGGCGGCTTCCTTGGGATGGTTAAAGCGAAACATGTTGGTTCTTCCCAAAAGTATCACGGCACCTGAGAACACACAAAAACAGTGAGAAATAATAAATGGTTTCCTCAGCTGGCAATGTTGTAATATGGAATTCTACAGCTGAGATATAATTTGCAATGTTTTATAAAACAATAACAATAAGAAAAGCTTTAATCTCAAAAATCACCTTAACTAGCTGCCATCAAGTCCATTCCAACTCACGGTGACCCCATGTGTGTCAAAGCAGAACTGTGCTCCATACGGTTTTCAATGGCTGATTTCTTGGCCGTAGATCACCAAGCCTTTCTTCCAATGTGCTTCTGGGTGGACTCAAACCTCTAACCTTTCAGTTAGCAGCCAAGTACATTAACCATTTGCACCACCCAGGGACTCCTAAAGTCAGCTTATATAGTCTATTTTAAATCTGTGAATACTTTTTTTTTTAAATCTGAGTGTCACAATACTAATATTACCCAAGGCAAAAGTGATGATTCTAGGCATTAAACATATTATGAGAGGTAAAACTTAATATAAAGATAATTAGACCTTTGATTGTTTTAGAGGAGAAAAAAAAAAAAAAAGAAATGAGTTCTCCAAAGAAATGTTGTAATGTCAAGCAAAGCATATGGTCACAAACTTAAGAATGTTTATTAGTTCCTACAAAGGCAGAAATCTCACAGTAAAGTTCTTTTAAAAGAAAATGCAGTGAAATTGGCAGAGTATAGTTAGCTTTACAAAAATCTCCCTCAGAATCTGATCAGAAATAAACTGTGTACATGCAATGTGCATCTGTCTTCATGTGAAAACACTGCTTCTTGTTAAAATTTAGATGGCCCCATTAGATACACAAGAAAGACTCCTTTTTATTGACCAGGGGCCCTGATTACTCAGAACACAACTCACAACTGGCAAAGAATTCAAAGCAAATTTGTTCTGTAAACCTTCATCTAAAGTAAAAAAAAAAAAAAAAAATCACCAATGTGGGAGACAAATTTTAGCTCTATTAGACGGATGGATGGATGGATGGATGGATGGATGGACAGGCAGGCAGACAAATACTTTCTAAGGTCAGAGCTGTCCAAAGCCAGCGTGGATGTCACAAAAGAAAGTGAGCTCCTTGTCCATCTCTAATGTAACATGAGCTGAGAGGCCACTGTGGCAATAAAAACGAGAGATCCTTGTACTTCTGTTCAAGGTTCTTCATTCTGAATTTTAATTACTTCAGAGCATACATACACAGACAGGATATAAATGCACTGCAAAAGCCTGTGCAGTGGAGAGATGTTCATTTAAAATGGGGTAGTCAGAGAAGTAAAGCTGTCTGGATACTGAATGAGAAGTTGGGGGGAAGCAGGGTGGTAAAGTTTTTACTTCACTGCTTGATTCAAGCACAAAGAAACTCGTTTGTGTGGTGGGGGGGATAATTTTCATCTGACTTGAAGTGTCTTAAACATATTGACTGTGGTTGTCAAGTGCCATTGAGTCGGTTCCAACTCTGTGTACAACAGAACGGAACACTGCCCAGTCCTGTGCTGTCCTCACAATTGTTGTTATGATTGAGCCCACTGCTGCAGCCACTATGACTTATATTAATACTAATTAGTACTGACTTACACTAAGATAAATTATGATGATGGCACCATTTTTAATGACCTCATAAAGTCTAATTTCTACCACATCTCTGTCAGTTTGTTGAACTGTGGTGGCTTGTGTGTTGCTGTGATGTTGGAAGCTATGCTACCAGTATTTCAGTACCAGTAGGGTCACCCACAGTGGACAGGTTTCAACAGAGGTTCCAGGCTAAGACAGACTAGGAAGAAAGGCCTGGTGATCTACCTCCAAGACATAGATTTTACTATTTAGAACAAAAGAATTATAGTAATTTTTTCTATATTTTAAAAATGGCTGTGAGCAGCTAGTTAGGGAAAATTAAGACCCAATACGGTGCTTGCAGTGGTTAAGAAAACTTCTCTAACATGTACAAAGAGAAGAAACAAAACAAATCCATTACCATCGAGTCAATTCCAACTCATAGTGACCCTACAGGACAGGGCAGAACTTCCCCGACCCTATAGGACAGGGCAGAACTTCCTCAAAGGGTTTCCAAAGCTATAAATCTTTACAGAAGTAGATTGCCACATCTTCCTCCCATGGAACAGCTGGTGGGTTTGAACCACTGATCTTTCAGCTAGCAGTGGAGCTCTTAATCACTGTGCCAGCAGGGTTCCTCCCTAATATCCATAGCTGATTTCTAACAAACAAAAAAAACACCCACTGCTGTCCAGTTGATTCCAACTAACAGTGACCCTATACAACAGAGTAGAACTGCCTTATTTGTTTCCAAAGCTGTAAATCTTTATGGAAGCAGACTGCTGCATCTTTCTTCCACAGAGTGGCTGGTGGGTTCAAATCGCCAACCTTTCAGTTAGCAGCTGAGCACTTAACCACTGCGCCACCAGAGCCCCTATAGCTGACTTACCTTCATATAATACTACACTAATTCAAACAGGAAACATGGCTTAGGGTTGACGGCTTGGCAATGAATAACAAGTGCTCTCATCAAAGGAAGCAGGTGTCAGTATTAAAGTGTGCCATCAGATCACCAGTTGGCATTTGTGAATGACATAAATGTGCTGACACCTTACCAGAAAGGCACACAGGTTTTGTCCCTTCCTTTTTAATGCTTACAATTCAAATACGGATTTATAATTTCCTGCTTTAGATAAATCACTTAAACTTCTGTTTACTCTTGCTAAAGTAAAAACTACAAAGTTAGATTCTGGGACTCCGGAAAAGAAAGAAAATTGATCATCAATCTCTGCCTACTGAGGTTTCCACCAAGAACTATTTGCCCAAATGTATACACTGGCTGAGTGTGGTGGGGGGTGGAGGGCTGATTTTATTTCTTCTTAAAGCCTTATGGGAGGTACAAAACAAGTACATGGAACAGGTCCTGTTCTTCTGAAGAAAAATGCAGAAAGCATAGCGAATAATTAGAGGGCAATTCAAGCCAGTAGACAATAAAATCATAAATACTAATGTACAGAAAGGGAGGCATTACACTAACTGGTCTTGCTATTAGTAACTTCCTTTTCAATCCACCCCAGTGGTCCATATTCTTTGTTATGAACAATAATGCTTATTCTCTGTCAATAACAATCTCAACTATTCATTTCCAGCCTCCCACAGGCTCCAAGCTGCTGATACCCTATTGTTCCTTCCTAAATGGTTCTTACAAAATGCTTCCCTTCTCCCTAAGCTCCAGCAGTCTCCTACCTCCATCAGTCCGTTCTCATTATTCCTAGTCTACAGTCTCCCTTTGGGCTAAACAAACGCTGCACTGTCCTTCATCTCTGTGTCCACATTACTCAGCTACTGCATGGTGGTCACCGACTCCCTTCAACCTCCACAAAAATTCACGCAACCAGTCTGCGATTGAAAAGCCCTACAAATCTGCCTATAATGTACCAGCCTTTGTCTTCCACTTCTCCAACTTCCTACCCTATCCCCTCTCCCATTCTCTAGATATTTCTTCACTACATACTCTGATCAAAGGACATCTAAGTCATTTTTTCACCATATACCATCATGACAAATAATTCTTGCCCTTGAGAATTCAGCTTTGGGTAAATGTTCCCGTTCTCAGCAGTCTAATCCACCTATGGGAAGAGCTCCGGTTCCGGGTCGAGTATGTACACTCCATCCTGTCTCTCCCACTGAACGTGGCTATAGCCTGACAGAAGGCATGTAGCAGTTGTTTGACGGCACTAAAAAGTAAACGATAGCAGGCAGATTGACAAAGACCAGAAATTGAAGCACTACTGAATTGACAGTGAATTTACCATTTCTTTTTCCTCCAGTGTTCCCAGGTTTGGATTAGCGGAAGCTCAAAAGTTGACATCAGTGCAGAGAGAGAGAACTCCAGGAGAAGCCCTCTAGTTCAGGTTCGAGGAGTGGGGAAGGGGTCTCCTGGTAGCAACAGTGGCAGCAGTGGAGAGCCCACAGATGCCTAAAGCTACAAGGCAGGAAAACATCCCTCTCTGAGCAGAGCGACTGTGGTCCCAAAAGACCCTTACTGCCTTTTTTTTCCCCTCTCTCTGTCCTCTCACTGCTTGCACCCAAATATGGGAGCAGGAAGTACATAGAATAGTAGATAAAATTTCAGATTTCTAGCCAGAGGACAGAATATCCAAAGAACCAGAAAGTACTTGGGAGAAGGTAAAGAAATTCAGGAATGTGACCTCAGAGGCCACTGCCCAGGTCCTCGACTGGCCATTAGGTGGCACACATGGGCTTTGAAAACTGAACTGGCATTGGAACCACAACCCACAGAAAGATGACTATAACTTATGGCCTGAATCCAATCAGGTCAATTGCCTGCTAAAACAAAAATATCAAAATTTTCCATAGGATTTAAACAAGACCCAGAGTCTCATAACATAATGTTCAAAATGTCCAGTATACAATGCAATTACTCAGCATACAAAGAATCAGGAGAATCTCACCTTGCATGGAAACAATCAAGAGGTGCTAATGCCAAGATGATAGAGATGTTGAAATTACCTACTAAAGACTTCAAATTAGTTATTATAAAAATGCTTCAACATGGAAGAATACTTTTGAAACAAATTGAAAGATAAAGTTTCAACAAAGAAGAGATACAAAGAATAATCAAATTTTAAGACAAAAAAATAAAACAACCAAAAAAAACCTCATTGGATGGTCTCAACAACAGAATGAATATGCCAGAAAACAAGAGTCAGTGAACTTGAAGACAAAACAATTGTAATTATCTAATCTTTGCTAAAAGTTTACCAAACAATAAAAATAAAATAAACAGAGCCTCAAGGACCTGTGGGACAATATCAAAATATCTAACATCCACGGATTAACATGTATTGACCTACGGGACAGTACCAAAATAGCTCACTTTCACAGAAATTTTGTTCATGGAGTCCCAGAACAAAAGGAGAAGTGGTGTGGTGAAGAAAAAATACTTAAACAAATAATGGCTGAAAACCTCCCAAATCTGAAGCCAGACAAA